ACGGCAGCGTGTGCTCAGTCTCGTCCGGCAGTGCTGTCCCCCATCATAGGGCCCCCGCCCGCCAGTTGGGGTTCCCGGCCCTGCCCGAGGCTCTGACGTGGGCCAAGGCGCCTGCTCGGCGGGGTCCCTGCTTCTGCTCAGCTGCTGCCGCCGCCTTTCTACCCCCAAACCTGACCCTGAGGCCCCTCTTGGAGCAGAGGACACAGAACGGCAAGGAGGCCCTTCACAGCCCCAAGGGGCCCCCGACCCCCACTCACCCTGAGGCGGGGCCGTGCACCAGGAGCCGCACCAGGATGCCCGTCACTGCCACCAGGATGGGGTAGTGGTCCACGCTCTCCAGGCCTAGGGAGGGCGAGGGGGGTGAGCGCCCGTGCTGGGGCCCAGCGGGTGCCCACCGCCCTCCCCACTGGGCACGGGAGGGGCGCTGAGCTGGGGGGCCACGCCTGGCTGTCCTGGCAGAAAGGGAGCCGGGCATCACTGCTCCTGGCAGAGGACCAAGGCCGGCGTGTGGAGGGCGGGGCCCCGGGTCCTCACCAGGCAGCCACAGGGTGACCACGCGGTCGAAGAGGTTCCTCTCAGCCGTCACCCGGTTCAGCACCTGGTTCAGCAGCTGCGAGGGCGGCAGTGGTTGGCGGCGGGGTGGCTCCCACGGGGCGTCCCCGGCCCGCCCCCTCCTGCCCTGGCGGACTCACCTGGGCGAGCCGCTGCAGCAGCATCTCGGAGGTGGGCTGGGTCGAGTCGAGGAAGACCTCGGGCACCAGGGTGATGGTCATCTCCAGGACGCGCAGCAGGCTGACCGAGAGGTCGAAGCAGGTGGCACAGACCTTGAGCTGCCGGGTGTCCACGAAGTTCCTCTCCAGGCGCTCCACGGCCTGCTGGATCTGAGCCACCAACGGGGCGGTGGGCGGCCTGGCCACACCGGCCCCACCCTCCGCAGCACCCTGACCCTCAGGCCCCCCACCTCCTGGATCATGAGCACCCCGACCCACCAGCCCCCCCACCTCCTGGATCATGAGCACCCCGACCCTCAGGCCGCCCACCTCCTGGATCATGAGCACCCGACCCTCAGGCCGCCCACCTCCTGGATCATGGGCACCCGACCCTCAGGCCCCCCACCTCCTGGATCATGGGCACCCGACCCTCAGGCCCCCCACCTCCTGGATCATGGGCACCCGACCCTCAGGCCCCCCACCTCCTGGATCATGGGCACCCGACCCTCAGGCCCCCCCACCTCCTGGATCATGGGCACCCTGACCCTCAGGCCCCCCACCTCCTGGATCATGAGCACCCTGACCCTCAGGCCCCCCACCTCCTGGATCATGAGCACCCGACCCTCAGGCCCCCCACCTCCTGGATCATGAGCACCCCGACCCTCAGGCCCCCCACCTCCTGGATCATGGGCACCCGACCCTCAGGCCCCCCACCTCCTGGATCATGAGCACCCTGACCCACCAGCCCCCCCACCTCCTGGATCATGCCGATGAACTCCGAGAAGGCCCAGTTGAGCTGGTTGAGGACGCTGTTGAGGAAGCTGGGCGCCACGTCGGGGTCCTGGCGCAGCAGGTCCGCCATGTGCTGCTGCAGCAGGATGGACGGACAGGGCTCTGCGGGCAGCGGGGGCTCGGTCAGGGCCCGCCGTCGGCCGGTCCTCACTCGCCGGGCATGGGTGTGAGGCCGGAAGACAACTCTGGGGATGCTCAGGCCGTGAAGGTGAGGACAGAGCTCCACTGCCCTCCCTGTGCGGACCCAGCCACAAGCGGCCGCTGCTTCCGGCCCCACAGCCCCTAGGTCAGGAGCCGGCTCGGCCCAGCGCGTCCTCCACCGCGGGCGTCAGGGAGAGCGAGGCCGGGACAGGGAAACCGGAACCCTCCTGCTGGCTCGAGGCCAGCTTCCTCAAGAGCCTCCTTGGCGTCCTGCCGCCCTCTGCTGTCCTCTGCTGCCCTTGCCTGGCCTTGGCACGTGGCCGAGGTGGTGGGCGCCACGCCTGGCTGACAGGCAGCAGTAACCAGAGCCCGCAGCGCGGGCGGCCGGCAGCCTCCCTCCCCCACGCAGATCAATAGTTCCCGCGGCCGCAGGATGCCAGCCCTGCCCCTCTCCACTTGCAGCTCAGTCCCACCCGCCAGGCAGGGCCAAGGCCGCTGGCAGGGACTCACTGAGTGACTTTGCATAAGGCACTGGGCCTCCGGGACACCCTTCAGGCCAAACACTGTCCCCCCAGGCAGCGACGCACCAGGCGGGCAGGGAGAGCGCCAGGCGGGGTGCGCACAGCGCGCAGCAGGCAGACAAGCTGGGCCCCGACCCGGCTTTGCCAGACCAGGACCCCGGGACAGCGCAGCCTCTGCGCCAACCAAATGCCCCTTCCCCCAGGAAGCCCCCAGCACGCTGAAGCCCGCCTCGCCCGTCTGTGCCCTGGACTCAGGCAGCCAGGCAGGTGGCAGAGAAGGGCAGAAGGACACGTGCTGGGACAAGGAGGTCAGGGAGCCCCTGGGAAGACCTGTCCCTCTTGACTGTGACCCGTAAGAGCTTCAGGCCCCCGGGCACCAGTGGGACGGGAGCAAGGCGAGGGGCCCCCTGGCAGGACGAAGGGGATGCCCCAGGGACAGACAGGGACTTGGGGCTGGAAGGAGGGGAAGTCTGCAGCCGGGAGCAGTGGGCACGGCCGCCCCTGCCCGCCGGGTACTCACTCTGCAGGCTGGGCAGGTTGGCGTCCTCGGGCTTGATCTTCAGCAGGTGGGGCAGCCGTGTGTAGCGGTACCCAAACCCACAGCCCTGCGGCAGGGTGGGTGCGGGTCAGCGCGCAGGCCCCTTCGTGCGGCCCAGCCCCGCGCCCTCCGACCACTCACCTTCCAGAGCCGCACCAGGATCCAGTTGGTCTGCGCCCAGGGCCGCTGCTCGTAGGGAGCCAGGAGGCTCCTCACCATGGCGACGCGCCTGCCGGGGCAAGGGTGGCGGGCACAGGTGAGGCTGCGCGAGGCTGTGGGGGCAGGGACCTGCCCTCCCCCAGCCCCACTCACTGCTCCTCGGGGATGCGCTCCACGGCCCGCAGGGAGTGTGGGTAGCAGACGTAGCTGGCCAGCGCCTGCATCAGCGAGTCACGGATGTCTGTGGGGGCAGGGCAGGCCTCAGCAGGGGGCCTCGTGCCCATCTGGCCAGCATTTCACGCAGAAAATCGCCAGCCAGAGAGGACCTCCAACCCCCCCCCCCCCAGCCCTTTGGGCACCTCACCAGTGCCCACGATGCGTGTGTCGGCGAAGTGCTTGGCAAGGATGGCAGCCAGGCGGGTCAGGGTCTCCTCATAGCCTGCAGGGGGGAGGGGGAGGGCGGGCTAAGGCTCCAGAGCTGGCTCCCGGGGTCAGTCTGGGCCCAAGCCAGCCTCGGGGGTCTTCGGGCTCAGCACTCAGCGACAGCTGATGAAAGGCTAAGGCCAGACTCGCTGTGGGGAGTGGGTCCTGGCGGGGTGCTAACCGAGCCCTCACCCTTCGATGGCTCAGCAGTCAGCGCCCCCGGCACCTACAGCGCTACCCGAGGACAGAGCTTGCACCTGGGTCTGAGGGGGGGCAGCGCAGGCCACAGCCCACAGCCCACAGCCTGACCCAGACATAAACCACCCACCCCGTTTGAAACCAGGGTCAGCATGAAGCTGGGCTCCCATGTGGCCCCCCAGCATAGCCCCACCCCTCGCTGTGATTTACTGAGATGGTACCACCCCCTGTGGCAGTGACGGCGCTGGTTGAGAGGTCACCAGTAGGAAATGAAGCCAGGAATCTGTATTGTCAGTATCCCCCCAGAGCCAGGAAGGAGCTGCCGGGCTCCGCCATGTGGCGCCAGCAAATGCGTGTCCGGGGCAGGCCGAGCCTCCCCCGCTCAGACCAGACCCGGCTCTGCCCCGGCTCCGAGGCTCTCGCCCGCCTGCACGGCCTCACCTGGGAGCTCCTCCATGCTGTGCACGGGCCCGAAGTAGTTCTTGAGGGCGCTGTAGCTGTTGATGGCCACGCTCAGGTAGAACTCGGGCATGAAGGCGAAGAGCGAGCCGGTGCGGTCTCCGTGCTCGATGGTCCGCAGACAGACGCGCAGCAGCCAGTAGATGTCCAGCATCTTCTCCTGCGGGCGGCACGGGGGCTGCTGGTGAGGGTCCCGGGCAGGGCTGGTCGGGGCCCAGAATGTGGCTGAGAGCCAAGCCCAGAGGCCGGGCCGGGCTCAGCAGGTGCCGCCTGGAGGGCGGGTTCGCTTTTCTCAGAGGCACCGAGGGTGCTAAGTGCGAGGGCGCGGTGTGACCAGAGACTGAGAGCTTTTCCTCCAAGAGCAGAGACAGGGCGAGGAGGCCTGCTTTCCCCACTGCTAGAGCACTGCGAGTTCTAGAAAAATCTACCCTAAGATTCACATGGAATCTCAAGGGACACCAAGTCGCCAAAAAAAACCTTGAAATAGAACAAAGTTGGAGATCTCACTTTCTGATTTCAATGTATTGCAGAGCTACAACCATCAGACTGTGTGATCCTGACACAGAGACAGATGCAGAGCAACGGACTAGAGCAGAGAGCCCAGAAGAAAAGCACACACACACGCGCACACGCACACGCACACGCACAGGCATTCAAACTTTTGACAAGGGAGCCAACAGTATGGCAGTTCCTCAAAAAGTTTAAAACATGCCGTAACTGGTTTGGCTCAGTGGATAGAGTGTCGGCCTGCGGACTGAAGAGTCCCAGGTTCGATTCCGGTCAAGGGCATGTACCTTGGTTGCGGGCACATCCCCAGTAGGGGGTGTGCAAGAGGCAGCTGATCCATGTTTCTCTCTCATAGATGTTTCTAACCCTCTATACCTCTCCCTTCCTCTATGATTAAAACAGAAAGACCCAATTCTGCCTCTGAGCACGTGCCCGCAGACTCGAAACCACACGGCCCAGAGGGGGAAGCTCCCTGAGGCTATCAGGAGGTGAACACGGTGGCGCAGAGCAAACGCACCCCAGGTCTCAGCCTGACACTGGCCCGGCTTCCACAGGGTGACCTGTGAGGGCAGCAGCTACGTCAAGGAAGCCGGTGACAAGACTAGCTCGGTGTGGACGCCACGGCAACGAGGCCCCGCGTAGGCAAACCCCGACAGAGAGGAATGCCGGCTTCCGGGGTGGGGGTGGGGGGGGCGGGGGGGCGGGGGGAGTTATGGGTGTGAGTTTCAGTTTGGGAAGATGAACACGCTCCGGGTCTGTTTACAACCGAGTGAATACACGTGATTAACACCACGGAGCTGTGCACTGGAGGTGACCGAGGGGCGTTAGATGCTGTTTCACTGCAATTGTAAGAAATGGTCAAGATGGCACATTCTAGCCGGCCGGCGTGGCTCCGTGGTTGAGCGTCAACCTATGAACCCGGAAGTCAGACTGACTCCGTCTGGGCACAGGCCCCGGCTGCGGGCTCGGCCCCCAGTGGGGGGCAAGCACGGTCGGATGGAGCCCCCCTCTGTCCACCCTCAAGGCCGACTCCCGGGGGGCATGGCCGCGTCTTTCTGCCTCGCTCCTGAGTGTCCCTGGCGTCAGGGCGGCACTGGACCCCCGGCCCCGGCACATGTCACTGGGTGATGCGTGAGTGAGTGAGCAGAGAACAAGCAGTGGCCTCAGGGTGGGTGAGTCTGCGGGAAGGAGCTGCCAGGCCGAGGGTGGCTGGGGAGAGGCCAGAGCCCGCGGGCACCAGAGGGAGGTAGAGACAGACCCTGCTCAACCTGAAGTGTCTGAGCGGGAGGGGCCCCCGGGGGCCTGAGGGGTTGCGGGGATGTGGCACGGGGTGGGAGGAGAGGAGAGGGGCAGGGGGGAGTGTGTGCCAGAGGCTCCGGGCGGCAGGGGCATTGAGGGGCTGCCAGCCTGTGCCCAGCCAGGGGGCTGGGAGGGCAGCAGCTGCAGGCCCAGGCTGCCTGCTCACCTGAGAGTAGACAGTGGCATGGACCCAGGCAAGACGGCGGCTCAGGTGGTCCAGCTTTTCTGAGAAAACTTTCTGGCTCTTGGTCAACTCCTCAAGGATGTCCTTCCTCTGCCCCGAGGAGAAAGGACGGTCAGGACCAGGCCCGCGTCCATGGCCTTGGGGCCCACTGTGGCCTGGGGCGCAAGGGGTGGGTGCACCCGCCTCTCTTCCACACCCCCCCCCCCAGCCTCTGACCCGCGGGTGAGCCCGCGCAGGCCTCGGAACAGGGCCGTGGCGGCGCCCTGGCACGGGGAGGCGGGGTGCAGCTGGGGTCTGGGAGCCGTGGCTGGGCAGCCCGGGGGGCGTACGATGAACTGCAGGCAGCTGGGCCCCTGGCCCTGCCCCCGGGGGTGAGCTGCGGAGGGGCTCCCGGGGAGGGGCTCCCGGGGGGGACAGGGCCAGGCCCGCTTCCTGCTGACTCTGCATGTGGCCGAGAAGCGCTCAGGCTGAATCCATAATTGATGAGGACAGAGGGCGCGCCGAGCACTTAGCTGCCAGGGGCGGGGGTGGTTGGCACAGGCATGGCTGGCTGATGGGGCTCAGACCGTGTCCGGCCTGGTGCCAGCCCCTCACTGACGTGCTCTGGTCAGGGCGGGGGTGGGGACAGGAAAAACTGCTGAGGTCACCCCAGCGGCAGGGCCAGGCCGGGCCAGGTGTCCTCCGGGGACTGTCCTCGGACCCCAAGTGGGCAAGCTGCCGGGGCGCCCCACCCTCCCCCCGGAGACCCCTGCACCCGGCCTCACCCTCTTGGGGCAGCGGCGCAGCTTGTCCTCCGTGCTCCTCAGAGCCATCGCGTACTCGTTGACGTCGTCGGACACCCCCACCATCTGGAGTGGGACAGGCGCCTTGGTGACCCCCCGGCAAGCTCCCCGCCCCCCGGTCACCCGGGTCAGGCCTGAAGCGCGGGCGGCATCAGCCTTGCTGTGGCACACGCTCACGTGCAGCCGTGCCCCCCTGCAGACCCGGGGCATGTGGGCGCACACACGCACACGCACATGCACACACGCATGCACCCAACAAGCAGAACCGCGGCCACACGTGGGCGGACGGAGACCTTGCCCAGCTGCTGGTGGACGCTGAGGTTGTACATCATCACGGCCCCGTCCAGCACTTCCAGCAGCGAGTTCTCCGTGAGGGGCTGCTCGGGCTCCTCGGGGGGCCGCCCCAGCAGCAGGCCCTCGTTCCAGTGGCTGCCTCAACTGGAACGGGGGGGGGGGGGGGGGCAGGTCAGGGCCGGGCCACTCGGAGGCGGGGAGGCCCAGCAGGAGGGAGGACAGGGGAGGGCGACCTATTTTTGGGCCATCGATTTCCTGCCCCAAAAAGTACTGCCCCCCCCCTTTAAAAGCTTCGGGGGGGAAGCCCGGGCGGGGGGCGGGGGGGGCGGGGCCCCTTCGAAGCCTCCCCCCAAACCTAATGTCCCCCGGGGGCCTCTGCTCCACGCTCAGGGGGGGGGACCTTTTTTTTTTTTTTAGGGGCTCAAAAGCCCCCGGGGGG